TAAATTTTTTTTTTCAACGTTTATTTATTTTTGGGACAGAGAGAGACAGAGCATGAACGGGGGAGGGGCAGAGAGAGAGGGAGACACAGAATCGGAAACAGGCTCCAGGCTCTGAGCCATCAGCCCAGAGCCTGACGCGGGGCTCGAACTCACGGACCGCGAGATCGTGACCTGGCTGAAGTCGGACGCCTAACCGACTGCGCCACCCAGGCGCCCCTAGCCTCTCCTTTTTATTAGTCATCTAAAGGGAATTAGTCCTTTCCACTCAGGAAAAAAGTTCTAGCAAGGAAAAGCATAGATTTTTCTACATTTGATAGAGGAAATGACAGATTAATTCTGGTCATTTCAAAAGGATTACTTTGCTAGTTGAGGACAAACTGTAGTTTTTATTACTCTAGTTCAGGGAAAGTGAAGTATGAACACATTGTTTAAAAATGAAGCACTCGGGGTGCCTGGGTGGCTCAGTCAGTTAAGCATCCAACTTCGGCTCAGGGCATGATCTCACAATTCATGAGTTTGAGCCCCACATCGGGCTCTCCGCTGTCAGCACAGAGCCCGCTTCAGATTCTCTGACCCCTTCCCCTTTGCCCCTCCCCAACTTGTGTTTTTTTCTCTCTGTGTTTCTCTCTTCCTCTCTCTCAAGAATAAATAAACATTTTTTTAAAAGTCTGTTAAAATTAAAGCACTCAAAAGGTACAAACTTCCAGTTATAAAAGAAATAAGTCTTGGGGATGTAACGTACAACATGGTGACCATAGTTACTAATACCGTATCTTAGATCTGAAAGTTGCTAAGAGAGTAGATCCTGAAAGTACTCATCACAAGAAAAAAAATTTTATAACTACCTATGGTGATGCATGTTAACTAGACTTATTGTGATCATTTTGCAATACATACAAATATCCAGCCGGTATATTGTACACCTGAAACTAATATAATGTTATATGTCAATTACATCTCAATTTTTTTTTTAACGTGAACCACTGACAAGGAAACATGTTTTGCTATGAAGGCTATCTTCAGTTTTCATGCATTACTAAACAATCCAGTTTGTACTGTTTTAATAAATAGATCTTGTTTGTATGCAAAGGAGTGGCTTGCATCTGTGTGCCGAACCTGCCTCAGCTGGCCACGCCAACCTTGACTCTACTGCCACCTGGTGGGGACACTTATCCCTTCAGTAGGGAAATGTGTCATTAAAAGAACCAAATGTAATCAACATCTCAACAGTTTGGCAGGAAAGTAGCAATAAGACAGGGACAAAAAGCACGTCCCAGCTCTTCCATGAATAGTAAACACGTTCACCCAGCAAGTGTCTGTCTAGGGGCTTCTCACACAGGGCAGCAAATCAATACAGTGCTTGAAACAGTTCACCCATTTCTCAGAAGAGAGACTGCTTGTTTTATTTTATTTTAAACATGTCTTGGGGCACCTGGATGGCTCAGGCAGTTAAATGTCTGACTTTGGCTCAGGTCATGATCTCGTGGTTCTGTGAATTAGAGCCCCACATCAGGCTCTGCGCTGACAACGTGGGGCCTGCCTCAGATCTCCTGTCTCCCTCTGTCTCTACCCCATCTCCACTCATGTGTGCTCTCTCTCTCAAAAATAAACATTAAAAAAATTTTTTTTTAATTTTTTTTTTTTCTCAACGTTTTTATTTATTTTTGGGACAGAGAGAGACAGAGCATGAACGGGGGAGGGGCAGAGAGAGAGGGAGACACAGAATCGGAAACAGGCTCCAGGCTCTGAGCCATCAGCCCAGAGCCTGACACGGGGCTCGAACTCACGGACTGCGAGATCGTGACCTGGCTGAAGTCGGACGCTTAACCGACTGCGCCACCCAGGCGCCCTTTAATTTTTTTTTTTTCAACGTTTTATTTATTTTTGGGACAGAGAGAGACAGAGCATGAACGGGGGAGGGGCGGAGAGAGAGGGAGACACAGAATCGGAAACAGGCTCCAGGCTCCGAGCCACCAGCCCAGAGCCCGACGCGGGGCTCGAACTCACGGACCGCGAGATCGTGACCTGGCTGAAGTCGGATGCTTAACCGACTGCGCCACCCAGGCGCCCCAAAAAATTTTTTTAATAAATAAACACCTCTGGCCAGAGGAGTCAGAACCTGAGATATGGATATTAAAATAAGCAATAAATGCATTATTGAGCCCCGTCTCCTAGGGCTCCGAAAACAACTGAGGAGTTGATGTCAGGGTGTTCATCTTCTGAGGCTCCTCAGTCTCAAAGTCACCCGGTGATAAGTCCTCGTGATACCTCAGTGTTCTGAATGGGTCAGTATAACTTCTCAAAAGGCATACCACCAAAAATAACAATAAATAGCTAACATAACCGGGGGTCAGCTAAATTACCATGAGGGCGACCTACTTTGGGCCGGTGTTGTTCTAAGCCCTCTACAGCTATTGACTTATTTCATTTTGGGTTAATTAAGTCTCAGGTTATATGTTACAGATGCGGACACCAAGGCACTGAGAAATTAGCTAACTTGTCCAAGGTCACAGGGTTTGGGTTTGGTGATCTAGCTCCAGAGGCTGACCTTTTGTGATGCTATTCTGCCACAGCCAGGCTGCCAGTCCTGCGGTGGCACCTCACCGGCCCTTTCAAACCACTACCTTCATTTGCTGCTCCCTCTGCCTGACTGGAGTGCCCTTTCTCCCTGCACTTTGAAAATTCCTACCATCTGTGTGACTGGGTTCAAATCTCGCCCCTGACCCTTCCAAACAGACTTACCGGTGGTCACCTCTGGTCCCTCCACACCCGTTTCAGCCCATATGACATTCTATGGGCATCACAGAGTGTGTTTACATGTTGGTTCTTCCATTTAGCTGAGTTCTGTGAGGGTGACCAATGTGTCCGCTATACCTCCATAGCCAAATGTTTGATATAGAGTATATACTTAATTAGTGTTGAATAACCAAAAGAACGAGTAGCAATATTGTAATATTCAACTGTGACAACTATATCTGCAAGGTAGCAAGACTATTTCCACAAACCACACGTTACCTTATAAAAGTCAAGCTGTGTGTGTGTGTTTGCGCATGCATGCACAAAAAAACAGGGATGGTGACAATGAACCACAGCTCCAGATGGAGTATATTCTCATAACCTGGGAACAAGGTCATGAGGAGGTCAACCTTCCTTTCCAGACTTGAGTCTGGTGAAACCTGACACAGAATGGACAAAAGAGGCCTCAGTGTGAGTCATAGGTTAAGTCTAAGAGGTGTCATATACAGCTGTGTTCCTGGTAATATCTGGTCACTTTGTTGAGGCTCCAGGCTAAATGATCAGGAAAGTGAATCATATTGAGAAAATATCACAGCAATACTCATCACAGAGCAGCTTTTAATGCCAACCTACTAGAAATCACCTACAAGTTTACACACAGATACTTGCCAACACATCATGTTCCATGTAAGTAGAATGAGGACACAAACAGAGATTCCCGACAATTGATCAGGAAAATAGGATAGTATATCATTTATGTAAGTATGTCTATATATGTGCCTAGAAAAAAAGTCTGAAAGAATAGAGTAGTATCCTCTATGAGGTAGGATCACAGTTGATTTCTGGGATATTTTTCCTCTGCATGTTCTACAATTCATTATAGTTTATTCCGTTGATAAAGGAAATAAAGGTTTTAAAAATATTTTTTAGGACCTGAGGAAGATGGCGGCGTAGGAGGACGCTGGGCTCACCGCGCGTCCTGCTGATCACTTAGATTCCACCTACACCTGCCTAAATAACCCAGAAAACCACCAGAGGATTAGCAGAACGGAGTCGCCGGAGCCAAGCGCAGACGAGAGGCCCACGGAAGAGGGTAGAAAGGGCGGCGAGGCGGTGCGCGCTCCACGGACTGGCGGGAGGGAGCCGGGGTGGAGGGGCGGCTCGCCGGCCAAGCAGAGCCCCCGA